GTCGTCGATAAGGTCGACCCTTCGACGGAGCCGGCGGTAGGGCTGGGCGAGCCGACCGGGCTGAATTTTCCGCTATCGATTGGCACCTGGCGACGCACCGGCCGCGATAACAGGCGGTTCGCACCTGAACGCGACGTCTCGTATTCGTCTCCTCGCGACGTCTCGACGACGACGTGTGCACGTCATCGGTCTCCTCCTCGTGGACGGTTCCCCGCACGGTTCTCCTCGCAATCGCGCATAGCCTCTCGCTCCTGCGTCTATCACGACCGTCTCCTCCGAGGTACACTGGTCCTGCACGTCTCGCACCAGGGTGTGGAGTACGTTCGTAACGCGAAACTCTCCCGAGGGAGAGAGGGGGAGGGGAGTAATTATCGCGCTGTGCTCGTTGTCGCTCGGTGCGCACTGCCGTATGTTCGGGTAGACGGTCGTACATAAATTTGGCAGCAACTTTGCTATCGATTTGTTAAGGTTGCGTTTCTCTTATAAGTGGTTCGCGTGGAAGTCGTATTTGTCACATAGAGTGACGAGAAACACAAATATACTAAATCTAGATAGACCTTCACACGACGTGAGACAATCGATAAAATGGAAACTCTACGATTTCTTTACATTTATGAGACAAATCTACTGAATTAATCGCTAAATTTGCATATAATAACGTAAATGTTTCATTGTATGAACGCAGAAACAAATTTACTGGAAGTTGCGCTGAGATTTTCGTATCACTCTTGACGTACCGTATTGTTTGAATCTTGGTAATTTTTTGTTTTTTTTTATTTTATATCGTTCTATATGATGAATGCCACATGTGTGGAACCACTCATAAGAGATGCAACCTTTAAAAATCGACGAGTAAAGTTGCTGCTATAAATTTACGTACACTTGTCTGTTCAGAAAGAAATATGGAAAGATTGCTCAAAATAATACGTTATGTAAGAGATAATATGAAAGTTCAAAAGTTGTCTGTAAGGGAAATATATGAAATCGGACTATCTTTATATTTTTGGGCCTGCTAAATATAAAACTCAAAATTATCCAAATCCCAGGAAACTATGAAAATATAGTTTTTTACAGAAAAGCCTTATTTCCCAGCAAATATTTTTTAATGAACGATTAACAATCGTAAACAACTTGTCGATGATTTTATTACTCGATTTGTAAAGCTTGTATGAGTTTATATCACACTCATATTTTTATCAAGGTGGACGAAATAAAAATACCAATAGAATAAAAAGCAACAATCAAAATTTACTTAAAACAATATGTGATATAAAATGTAGCAATTAAATGTAACTTTTAGTAAGTCATTTCTTGCATCAACAAAAATTTACATTGCTGTACGATGTAAATTTGATGTAAATTTTTAATAATTAATTCAATATGTGTATATTTATCTCGCAAGTATAAGCAAAAAATTGCACAGTTTTCATCGTCGATTATGTCACGTAGTGGTAATCATGAAAATCCACCTGGATGGCATCTATACTTTCCGCATCTCTTCCGCTCCGAACGGTACTCGTGCGAGCGCAACGATCGACGAGAAAACTTGGATGTTGAAATAAAAAATGCGTGAAATAAAGAACATACAACAACACATAGGAAAATCGTAACAGAAAACATAAAATACATAAAAGTTTAAGCATAACAAATATTTTTTCGCAAGTATCATCGTGTACAAGCAAAAAGAATAGAATAATTGTTCGCGAGGTAACGCAAGCTGTAAAGCAGCAAGGGGAAGGCAGAGTCAACAACGAAAACAAAACAGAGGAAAAGGAAAGAGGACAGGAGAAAGGAAAGGCTTCATAACATAAGCGGGAGTAAGGTAAAAGTATCAATGCCCGGACACGTACTTGATTCTGGACATTCTCATTATGTTTTGGGTTTTTAAATACGAATATTTAAACTATCAAAACAGAACGTATGTATAAACTCAGTATTTGAATATTGTTTGTACAGAACGTATGTATACACTTAATATTTGTATATTGTATATACAGGATCCACCAACGAAAACTTTTCGCCCCGATTATTTTGTAGCCAATTTGTCAAAAATTCCGATAAACGTCAATATTGTTCTCAAGGGACTGTATGATTGTGATCAATTTAACTATATCACTTCATCCCTTTAATTGGGGTAGCTATTTCTCAAAAAATCTTAACCCTTTACTGCCCAAATTAATTTCTCTTGTTTAAAAATTTTTCCACATGCATAGGATGTTTAAAACTAAAGTACTCGATATGTAAGATGAAATTTGATTTTTTTTATTTTTTATTTTTCCAAAATAGGTTTGTGAGGTTGTTGACTTTGAAGTCACGCGGGGCAGTTACTATCGCTGCCAACAGACTAAAAAAGACTATTATATTGTGATTTTCACGTGATATTAGTCAAGGCAGGAACAATATTCATATTGGAGATAAATAATGATGAAACTGGATTGTGACTTCAGAGTCATAGTCAGCAGTAGAGAGTTAAATAGCAACAGGGATTAAATAATATATCGTCAAAGTTATTTTAATTTTCTTCACAACGGTGTTTTTTTTTTAATTTAAGTGATTTTTTTTAAATCGCATTTGAAAATTTTGGTTACAAAAAATGGAAAATTCGCACTTTAAAGAAAGATTTATTTTATTAAATATTCAATGTGCCGCCCATTAACCCTCCTCTCTTATACAATTATAAAGTTTTTGTTCAAAATTGCTACGAACATTTTTATTTCTAGTGTTATTTTATGGCGTTATTTTATGGGTGGAAAGTTTTCGTTGGTGGATACTTTATATGTTTTATGTTGAACGTTTAAATATTTATATCTAAAGACTAAAGCAATAAATTTATTGATTTTTTGTTAAAGGAAACAATATATTTTATTCTAAAGGATCAAACTCGGTTCTAAAAGAGCCGGAAATTCTGTTTTTTTTCAACCAGAAATTAATTCGACAAATCTATTTGACGGAAACAGAATTTCTCTGGCTCGTACGTACCAAATTCGGTTCTGAAAATCCGAAATTTTGTTTCCTTTGACCTAAACGCGCTTGGTGCGTTCATCGTCGGGCCAATTAAATCAAACACGTCCGAGCATTGGTACTTTTACCTTAACATTCGACGAGTCGATATTTCCGGCCGGCTTTTCCAAGCACCGAGTTTCCAGCTGTCAGCGCTTAGCGTCGCGTAATTTCATTATTTCCTCTTTTCAAAGTGCGGTTCGTCGCGTGCGCGTGCCCAGCTCGAATTTTGACGTATTGAATGCGAGAATACGCGTATCTCATGCGTATGGACGGACGGACAGACACGCGTTGCGTGCGTGCGTGCGTGCGCTAATAGGACAGACAAATGGAGACGCAAAAATGTGTTTGCGCGCGCGCGTTTTCGACGGCCCATCGGGGCCTCATTGTCTTGCGGCGCAAAAGCGAAAGGGAGGAAATCGCTGCTTTCCCATGATCAAGAGAGACAGAAAGAGAGAGAGAGAGAGAGAGAGAGAGAGAGAGAGAGAGAGGAGAAGAGAAAAATAGACAGGGAGGGAAACAAGCGCGAATTTTCCGCTATCGATCGCGCGCGACCGTCGCACTCGTTAATTTGCCATTCAATCGCGGCTATTGACGTTACAAAAGATACCGTAGCCGGGGAGAGGCAGGGGGAAAGAGGGGGAGACAAAGTAGTCACGTCACTGGCCCTTTGTCGGTCGCACACTCGTGCTGTGCGAGCGGGGGAATGAGATTTTCTTACAACGCGAGGGAGAGGACAACGCCGCGTCTCACCCGCCGACGTTCCGCGTCACTTGGAAGCGCGCGTTACACTTCGCATTCCGCGCGCATCACACAACCGGAAGCGCGGGCCATCCGGCCGTTTCCTCCTCGATCATCCGTCCGCCGGTTGAAACGAGAGAGATACAATGGTGGAGAGAGAGAGAGGGGGGATGAGGAGAGAAGAATAACTGCGGGGACACACGTCTGTTTGTTTGCTCAATTTAACAAAACGATACGATCTGGCCGCTCGCCTTTGAGGAGGCGCAATTCCGGGCGTGAGACTAAAGCGAACGAGACATCGAGTTTCATAGGTTTCATTCGTAGCTGTATGCTCATGGAGAAAGAGAGAGAGCGG